TTAAAAAAAAAAAAAAAAAAAAAAATCAAAAAAAGAGCAAATAACGACTAGTGAACCGGCCCGAACCGGCCCGGGTGCACCGGCCGTTATTTACTTTTTTTTTTTTATTTCTCCGGCGGGCTGAACCACCTCTCCGGCGGGCTGAACCACCTCTCTGGGCTGAACAACACCCTCTTCGACGTCAGTATCTTCTCCACCAAGATCTTGTAAATCGGTGTCAAAATCGTCTTCGACGCCAACGTCTGCTACGGGGTCGTCTCCGACGGGGGCTTTGCGCCGAGACTTGCCCGGCGGGAATACAACCTTGAATTCATATGTTGAGGAGTCAATTTCCATTTGACACCCCGGTTTCAAATTGATCAAGAGAACCGAGTTGGCAAAGTTTAGCCATGTCTCCCTTTCGGTTCGATTTTGACCATCGTACTTTTCGTTCAATGATGCTAGGGAACGAATTTGTGCAGGATTCAAAGTCATCGATTGAGAAAACCCTAAGAATTTCTATCGACATTGAAGAAATTGACTGAGGCGCTGAAAGCTGAAAGTGAATATAAGAGGCGACCTAGGGTTTTCTAGGTAAATGACTGAATATTGGGCCTAAAGATAAACTAGTTGTGGATATTAACATCTCAAAGTCCATGGAAATAGACACGGCCACGGGCCGGATTTGGGCCCGGAACCGGCCCGAACCGGCCTGTTGACCGAGTGAACCGGCCCGGACCCGTGAACCGGCCCGTGCTACCCGGGACGGGCCCGGTTATGAGAAATGGTGAACCGTGAACCGCCGGCCCGGCCCGGCGGTTCACCCGGATTTAAAAAAAAAAAAAAATGTATTCAAAAAAAGAGCAAATAACGGCTAGTGAACCGGCCCGGGTGAACCGGCCGTTATTTACTTTTTTTTTTAATCCCCCCCCCCCCAATTTTTCCTATAAATACCCTCGCACCCCAATTTTTCCTATAATTTACTTATTTATCAAATATTTCAAACTTGTGCTTCTAAATTGACTTTTCATTCATCAAATATTTCAAGAAAAAAAAAAATCAAAATTTCCGGGCCGACCCGGAACCGGCCCGAACCGGCGGGCCGACCCGGCCCGCTGAACCGTCCATACTACGGGCCGGTTCCGGTTCCGGAAAATGTGAACCGTGAACCGGTTTGAACCGGCCCGGAACCGGCCCGAACCGGCACGTGGCCGTGTCTACATGGAAAGCTCGACGGGTGCATTTATAAACTAATTATGTTTGATTTTTTTTTTTATATATGTTTATACCATGCGCTTTGAGATAATAATAATATATTAATATGAGGGGTGAAAGCCGAATGGATTGGCCTGGAATTAGTCTTTTCAAAAAAAATCCAAAAACTTACGCAAGTTCAAAATCGTTCCAATTGCAATTCCAATAATAGTTTTACTTTTATATTGCAAAAATCTTAACTTTAAAATTAAGAATATTTTTTCGTTAAACTGCTACAATAAATAAATATATAATGAAAAATATGAAATAAGAATTATAAAATAAAAATAGTACGTAGAGGTTTATAAATTTGTGCTTCAAGTAATTTAGTTTTGAAAATAGCACCTAAGGCGAAGGAAGGAGAAACTCCCGAAAATAACAAGGAAGTCTTCCTAGCCATTGATGCGTGGAGTCACTCTGATTTCCTATGCCGTAACTACATCTTGAATTGCTTGGACGAACCGTTGTACAAAGTTTCTAGTCCTATAAAGACTGCTAAACTTTTGTGGGATAGTTTGTCCAAGAAATACAAGTCTAAAGATGCGGGTTATAGGAAATTTATAGTGGACAAATTCCAATTTTATCGAATGGTCGATAGCAAAAATGTGAGTGAGCAAGTGAATGAACTTCAACTCATAATTTACGACATTCTCGCCGAGGGTCATGAGGTAAGTGAATCTTATCAAGTTGCTTCCATAATTGGAAAGCTTCCACCGAGTTGGACGGAGTTCAAACACTACCTAAGTCACAAGAAATCGGTGTCCAATTGGACGATGGATAATCTCACAGCAAGGCTCAAGACTGAGGAGGATAAGAAAATTACCGACAAGAGTGGTCAATACATGGTAGTGGAGATCTCGAAACAGAGCAACAAGCGAAAGGGTCCTACATTTAACAAATGACCAAACAACAAGAAAAATAAGAGGTTCACCGGATCGTGCTTCGTTTGTGGAAACAATGGACATCTTGCAAAGGATTGTCGCCACCGCAAAGAAAGTAATAAAAATATAGCGAATGTCACCATTGACTTGGCCGCTTCCGAGAACGACAACATGCACTTTTCGGCAGTTGTAATGGAGGCCTACCTAATGAGCGATACGTGTTAAGTGTATATTTATACACTTAATTGTACCTTTTAATTGGAGCTTTTGGTGTGTTTTAACGATAATTGGTGCTTAAAATGGTTATTATTTGTATTTTAGGTGCAAATTGAAGAATTGGCAACTTATGGGGTAAAAACTGCAAATTCGGAGAAAAAGTGGGCCAAAAGAAGAAAAATCAAAAATCTGCAGAATTAAGGACCGGACGGCCGTCCGGATTTAAGAAGGAATTCTCGCACGGCCGTCCGGATGGTCGAGGTGGCGCAGTGAAGAAAGTTTAATTACACAAGGAAACCCGCCCTATTATATTTTTGCACCCTATTTAAAGGCCAAAAGCACACAATTAGGAATTATCTTTGATTATCTTTTATTTTTTAGTTTTTATCTTTCATCTTTCTACAAGCAATCGAGGAGGAAGAGAACGAAGACGAAGACTTGACGAATCTTCATCCTAGTTTTCCTTTTTACTTTTCTTTTCTGATTTTTATGAATTCTCGTATTGTTATTATGCTTTCCGTTACGAACATGAGTAGCTAAGTTTTTATTCTAGGATTTTGTTGGAATCCTATGTGGTAATTCGAACCTCTTTTTCTACTTTTATGCAAGTTTAATTCTTCGATTATTTCTTCTATTTTGATCTTATTTAGCACATGAACGTAGCTAATTTATGTTGCTATTGGTTATTGTTAGAATTGATTGACAGATCGTTTTAATAATTAGAACAGGGATAGAAGAGCCTTCGAGTAGTTTTTCACCGAATGCGTGTGTTGATTGCATGTATTATCGTAGACATACAGATAATACCTTAGGTAGCCGTTTACGAGACTTGTTATTTAATGCTTTATTTATATTAGGTTTGCATAGACATATAGTGAATCTTTTATGAATAATAGGCTTATAACACAGCGACAGCTGGTTATGAGTAATTTCGTGTCTTGGGTTAATAATCGGGAATCGTAACTTGCATGATAGGAGATTAATTGGGTGAAGAATTATCGCATAGGGGGAAGATAAAATCCTAGATCCGTTTTATATTGATATTTTCTCTTGTTTAATTGCTTTCTTAATTAGTTTAATTTATTTAGTTAATTAATTTGACTAACTTGCGTAGGCTGGATAAAAATCGTAATTGTTAAAAGTTGGTACTTATGATTAAATAATTTGCGTATTCCCTGTGGGATCGACATCCGACTCTCACGAGTCTACTTTACTACTTGTTTGCGATACGTACACTTGCGTGTTGGTATTTAGCACCCAACAATACGCGATGATGGTGGGTAGACATTGGGGCTACACGTCACATTTGCTATGACAAGAGCATGTTCTCCTCCTCCAGAAAGTAGGAGCAAGAACAAAAGTTCTTCATGGGAAATGATGCTTATTCGGTGGTTGAAGGAAAAGGACAAGTGATCCTAAAATTTACTTCCGGAAAAGAAGTTACCTTAAACGATGTGCTACATGTTCCGGATATTAGGAAGAACTTAATCAGTGGTTCTATCCTAACCAAGAAAGATTTCAAGTTGGCTTTTGAGTCGGACAAATTTATGCTAACCAAAGGAGGGTCTACGTGGAGAAGGGGTACGTACCTATGTGACGGTCTCTTTAAGGCGAACGTAGCCGTTATCGGCAAGAACTAAGATACAAAATTTATATTAATAATTTTTAGTTTATATGGTTTATTTGCATTTTGTGATATGAGTTGTAAGAACTTATATGTTGGAAAATGTCGTGTGTAAAACAAGGTTTTATTATTTAGTATGTTTTTTTTTTTTTTTTAATTGCCCTATGTTTTACAAGTCTGTATGAAATTTAAAATTAGTAAATTATACAAATATTTTATTCTTTTTTTTTTTGAAACAATATTTTTTCAAACTAATGAGTTGGTTGAATTTGGGCATAATCAATTTTTGTTTATACTTTAAATAGTTTTAATGTTGTTTGGATTATTCGTTTTCATAAAATCTGTGAATTCTTTGTCAAAAGAATTGTGTAATGATTTTGTGCCATCATTTGTCACAAAATAAGACTTTCAAATTTTGAGAACAAAATACGAAACCGTAAATGTATTTGTGAAATACAATGTGCAAGTGTGGAATAGAAAATAAAAAGACTCAAGAAGGCTTCAAGAAATTCCACTATGATTGAGATGTGGGTTTTTTAATAGAGTTCTTGGAGGATCAGATATGGCTATGGAGAGGATTTAAAGATGAAAATAGAACTTTAAACAGATCCAGCGCTCCAAAATGAATGAAATCGCCACCAAAAGAAAGAGCTCGACGAGAGGAATCAAACGGTATTTAAACCATCGAATTCCGACCACCGGAGAGAGAGTTATGACTCCGGGAAGCAACTTCGCCGGTTGGAGATTTATAGAGGCGGGATTTGAATCTAAGATTTGAGAGAGGAAGAGAGAGACGACGGTGTATGGCAACTGGCAAGGGTTTAGAACTGATTTTAAAGGGCATTATAGGTACTTCAGGGTGGCCGAGGGCGGTATGTCAAAATATTTTCGAAATGAAAGGAGTTTCCCCTAGAGTGTAATCCACTTGATAGTTAGTTCTATATAATTTGAAAATGAGGGGGTTTTTCTGCAAAATAATCCCACCGTAGTAATATTTTTTTTTTTTTTATTTTTTGAAGTTTGTTGATATTTAGTTTTAGAAAACAAAATGAAGATCAATTATCAATTATCAAGAATATTGTCAAGAATATCACATGTGCGCAAGAAGCTCAATATTCAAGTGAATATCAACATAAGAGATTGAACTAATCAGAAAGAGACCAAACAAAATTAAAAAAAAAAAAAAAAAAAAAAAAAAATCTCTTCATTGGCCTATTACGAGTTTTCCCCGTCTCACAAGTTCGTATAGCATCACAAGTGCAGCAGAATCGAACGAGCTCTTCTTGTCAGCTCTCGCCTCTCCAGTGAGTTCAATCTTACCAAAATCCGGTATGGTCAAACATATTTGCGATTCGAAACTATTAAATCCCGTCGCATCACCAATCTGAATCGGAGTTCTGTTCACATTGCAACCAATTTTTATTTTATTTTTCTAGCAAAAAATAATTAAAATAATAATATTTTTTATTTTATTTTTCTAACCTGGATTTTTGCTCCATTGTTTCGAAAGAAGGCATTGGCCATTGTTGTTTCTTGCAGAGTTCGTAAAGCGATTGCCGAGGTCCTCCTTTCTTCATCTCAATAGGTGGCACCACTGTCGATAAAGAAATACCACAACAACCTAATTAAGAACAAATCTTTTTATAACATCCTTAAACAAAAAAATGTAATGACAAAATATACCTGGGATTTCGGTAGATTCCGAGCTGACTAAATCTCGGTTTATACCTGGCTGCTGCTGCTGCTGCAACTCATGTACCTTTTGCTTCTTCCGCGCTGACTCGGAAGTTTCAACATCTTTTGACCATGTGGGGTCCACATCATCGGTCTCGTGTTTTTTCCGCTTGGAAGATGTAATACCTCTTTTCTGTAATGCGAATTAAACAATCTTCAAACATTCAAGAACTGAAAAATACAACTACAAATAGTGTCCGTGTGTGTGTGTGTGTGTGTTTTAACAAGGGGCAATTGCCCCCCACCTCGTCCTAAGAACAAACAAGATAAATGGTTCAAAAAAAGAGTTTTCGATGCTCCAAAATTAAAAAAAAAAAAAAAAAAAAAAAACCGAACCTCTAATTGCTTCAATATACGAAGAGCGGCCATTCCACGAGCAGCTTTACGAGTAGGACCAGAGCCTTGACCATTTAAGAGCGCATCTTCGAGCTGCAACTTAAGTTCGACTTGCACTAAATCTCCCTTTGCGTTAAAATTCTCTTTGATAAAATAACCCAAATAGTCACATAACTCGATCAATTCGCGCGAAGGCTGAAGTTCGAGCTTATCGGGAGTCACAATCGGAGATAAAATCGGCTTCATAACTTTCCAAACTTGCTCCAAATCAAGTTTCGAATCAATAAACACCGCCCCAGTTATGCTCTCCACCAAATCCCCCAGTGCCTTTTAACCAGTAATTTCAAATATTTTTTTTTATTAAAAATCACAACAAAAACTATTAGAAAAATATGATTTAATTATAATATCAAAAAAAAAAAATCACCTTAGGGGCTTTGATTTCCGGAGCTAATGATGCGGTGCTTGTCATAGCAGATACAATCTTGACGAATGCCGATATTTGATTATCGAGATGCAACGAACCATGCAGAAGGTGGGGGTGAAGGTTCCATCTCACAGCAGCAAGGGCAAAACTGTCATTGTTCACCGATGCGGATCGTAAATCAGTCAACTCCCCGGGATCAACATTTCTATGACTCTCGTAAAGATGCAACGTAATTAGTACGTCCAGCACAGCATCACCAAGAAATTCAAGCCTCTGCCATACATTCACAAACGTCACAACTCTATAATATAAAATAAAAAAAAAATTAAAAATCCGCGCCACTAAAAATATTTTCCGTTTTTTTTTTTATTTACCTGGTAACAATAACCGACACCTTGTTCAGGTCCAGTGGCATGCGTAATCGCCTCCAACAATAACCCTTTAGTGCAGAATTTATAACCAATTTTCGACTCGATAACACCAATTTCATCGACTTTCGGAGCATAACAATATAGAGAGGCGACTTTTATAGCTTCGTCGATCAAAGAATGCTCGATTTCAGCTTCTACACCGAGCCACTTCATCAAACTAAGGGCCGCATTTAATCCACCACCCACATAGTACGCCCCTATGAGAGATTCAACACAATCGGAAATGGTTTTCGATAGCATCCACCGGTGACCTAAATCGCAAGCCTTTCCGAGCATTAGTTTTTTGTCTTCGCCGTAATATTTGATATCATCCAAGGGCACTTCGGTCATTTCTAAGCCGTGATCGCACGGTGAAGGCCATATTGTACGCTGCCCTGGGGCTGCCCATCGGCGTGGATCGAATGCACAATCTCGTACGTATTCCTTTTTGATGAATAATAGATAAAAATAAATAAGTGAAAGTCCACTAAAAATCACGAGAACTTTGAGAATATGATAAATAAATAAATAAAGACCTGCAATCTGCGGTTAGTTCCCAATTTATGGAGAGCCGAGTTGCAAACTATATTCGAACGGATCGACGACAGCTGTCCTTCGTGCTTCTTTGGATATTTAAGAAAGAGATGACAGCTCACTGCGTATTTCAAAACTGAATCCCCAAGTAATTCTAATCTCTCCATCGAGAAGCTTTCGTTGCATCTTAGAGTAGTTAAAGCTTCCAAAATCTAATCAAATAAAAATTAACTCAAGTCAAAAAACAAAAGAACGAAAAAATAAGGTTAATCATTCCAAATACAAAAGTATATTACATATATATATATATATATATATATATATATATATATATATATATATATATATATATATATATATATATATATATATATATACATACCAACGAGCTTGATATATTGAAATTGCATCCATGACGTGATATTTCATCCCTAAGCTGGCTGGCCAACATCAGAGACTCGATTCGGTGCATTAAAGAAGGTAGCAAATAGAACGATTTCAATATTTCGGTATTGATATTTATGCCGACTAAAAGTTCCGGTGGCATGTGAGCATGTTGTTGTGGCTTTTCCACAACTTTTTTCCCACCCGATTTGTTTTCCAATGGAACACCTGAATTATTTAGAACATATTCTAAGGCCTCGTTTGGTTGGGGAGATAAGCAAAGATTAATTACAAAATACAAAAAAATAAACAAGAAAAGAACCTTCGTTTCTGAAATCCACAAGAAGATTGTGTGAATTATGACCTTGCTTTAGAAGCAACAAAGGCTGTTCTGGATGCTTTAGGACAATGCAATACCTGGCAAATGTACTTAAAGTTAAATAATCGACAAAAATATAAGTATGAAATAAAATAAAATAAATTCAAGTTTTCAAAAGACGTACTTTTTGAGGTAATAATCAGCAAAAGACGAATAATTTGTATCGGAATCCCCTTCGAACGGGCTCTCAGCAGAGGTATTAGCAACGGAATCGAGAATCGAATAAATTCGACCAGTATGAATTGCTACGACCACCATTTCCTTGAGACTGTCCACAGAAGCAGATATATTGGCCAAGTGAATTACATTATTATCGTCACTGAATTTTGTCGCAATTGGAGGATCACTCGCAACAGGCGACGAATTTCCGTCGGTAATTTCAGGTTTCTGAAAATTCAACACAGCGTTAATTCTCAGAAATTCCACCGCCGAAACACACGACTCGATTCCCGTCCAATTTATCTTCAAAGGAATATCCTCCGACTCGAGCGGTAACAGCAAATACATATTCGACGGGTCCCACAACGATTCCTCTGTTTGA